ACTAGTTCTTAGTTGCTTCATCTCTCGCCCATAGAATGAGGCGTTCTTCTGTTTCTCTCATGTGCCTGTGTTTTAGCAGCGTAACTTTAAAAAATATATCTTTCTCTTTAAGTAAGACACCTAATTATTTATTATGAACAAATTATTTATATGGTTGGTAACAGTACCTTTACAAATTAGAACAACTGTACAGTTTTTTGCATCCTGATATAATTTTTTTGGGTCAAATGGGGATACAATAGCAAAGACACATTTTCTTAAAACTATAACAATAATAATAAAATTAATTTTAATAAAACCTAATTTTAAAGTGGTTTTTGAACATTTACAAAAAATTACTTATAGTTTTTAACAGAACAGCATGTTGACTCACTGCTGACTAGAGGTAATTTTAGTACAACATTTATGATCAAAATGACATTTTATGTGTTATTTCAGAAGTAATAACAAACACTATTTAAAACTAATCAACGTGTGTGTAAAACAATTAATCGAGCAATCCCAATTTGCGTTTAAAATGCAAAATTGACTAATTTAAACCTATAAGTAGTAAAGTTACTTGTATGTGTAAATATAATAAAGAAAAAAAAATTAGAGTTCAGATCTACATATAATTCTAGATATATATAGGTAGAGATTATTAAAACAAAATAAAATGAAGTAAAAATTAAAATCTTATAGTCTAATTCTTAAAATATCTTGAAATTTACCTACATGTAAAACCTTAAAGATCGAAACGTCATTATAATAAATGTCCTATAGAATTGAGCGATATTTCACAAACTGTTATTTAAATATTTTAATATTGGTAAACTGACATTCTTTACATGTTTTTCTACAGATTTTTAAAATGTTTTCCAGAAAAATATTAACGAATATTTAATTTTTTAAAGATCTAAGGAAACATAACCTTATTTATGCAATCGTCCAACTCTACTTTTCTCGGAATTGACGTTTATATCTTTAAGTACAGGGTGTATCAACAACGTGTGGGTGGATAATAGCTGCTTCCTTCAAATAAAAAGCTGCAGGGAACAATGAAAACTATGTTACATACAGGGTGCCCGATATTTTCACTCGATTGAATTCGTTTGGATGAATGTTTCTCAAAAATATTGGGTTTTATGTGTTTATACCAGGGGGTTGGGAAACTATGGTGGGATTTATGTCACACAATGAGTCATTCAACATGGATATAATTTGGAATAACAAATTTCGTAACAAAATATACTCGAAAATTGTGTATTTTCATTTCCTATTCAGAGAATTCTCATTGGGCCAGGGAAGTTACTATTCAAAATATATGGCCGGTAAATGTTTGGGGATCAGATTATAGGACCATATTTTTTAAAGGTTCATATTTAATGGACAAATTTACAGATATTTTCTCCAAGATGATTTACCAAATTGTTGTGGGATGTACCGATTGAAACCAGATATAAACATGATGACCCGCTTCCCTACAATCAAAAGCATGTAAGAAGGATTTTAAGCAAATGGCGCAGAAATAAATGGATGGGAAGAAACGAACTCATTTAGTGGCCAGCAAGGTCTCCAGACCTCACGCCTTTATATTTCTATCTCTGGGGATATGTTAAAGAAGAGGTCTGCCGCCGAAACTAAAAGACATGAAAAATTGAATTAGAGAAGTTTTACACTCTATTACAACTTTAATTGAAGTTTGAAGAGCAATTAATTTAGATAGGCTCAAAATGGGAGATTGTTTGAGCATCTGCTTTTCCTCTTTTTTAAATTTTTGGAGTTTATTATTTTACCTCTTCGGTTCAGCCCCTGTATGGGAAAAGTGCAATTTGGTAAAATTATGAATAGGAAACGAAAATACACTATTTAAGCGGATATATCGAGGACAATTTTTATTTCAAATGGTTTATTTGGTGCTGAATGAACCCATTTTGTGACATACATTCCAAACCACCTGGTATATACCCATACAACCCTATATTTTTAAGAAACACTATTCCAAAGAAATTCAATTAAGTGAAAATATATAGGGTGTTTCATTTTAAAAAACACAACTTTGATAAATCGCACATTTATATTGGAATACAGCTTTCATTGTCCTCTACAACTTTTATTTGAGACATTTTTTCCTATCTTAAATAGAAAAACAGCTATAATTTACTCTTGCATCGTTTATACACCCTGTATTTATATGTAACTATTTACCAAATGCTTTCTGAATACGGATGTAAAATGGTAAAAGATTAAAACTGTATCTCATGATTTTAAATAGTAAAATACTCAAAAACTGCATTATAGAATAGCTATTTATGAAACCGGTTACGAAATACCTTATTTTATGTAACGAGTATATATTTGCGGGACGAGCAGAGTGAGGTCCCGCAACATGAACGAATTAGTTACATAACAAGGCATTTCGTAACATGTTACATACAATATTTTTTCTAATTTCGACTAATTATTTATTAAATTGTGTTGGTAAAAAATTACTGACATATAAGCAACCAGTATTACTTTCTTGTATTGTTAGTTGCATATACATAACTTTATTCTTCTTATTCGCAAATAGTAAATTATATTATTTATTTTCTTGTGTTTTAATAAGATTTATTTTTTGCTGATTTTGAATGGAAAATAAGGACCAAAACAACATTATTACTCGGTTGTAAGTTTAATCAAATTCTATTTTTATAAGCCAATCTGCCCTTCTTTGACATAAAGTTTAAATAATAATGTATATATTGATTTTAAAACAAAAAAAAGGTTTTTTATTTTCTTTTCGCAACTGGTGGCATAATGATTTTTTCGTAACCAGTTTCATTATGCTCAACATTATGCAACTGGTTGCATAAAGTAGATCATTTTGACACTTGCTGCGATTACAAAAATGTCAATTATATGTCAAAATTAGAAAAAAAAAACATTTTTTATTGATTTCTAAGATAAATGTTTCAAAATGTTGGTGGTTAATAATTTTTTTTTAGGTAAGGCACAGTAAAACCATTGTTTTTAATAAAAACTGATTCACAACCAAATATGAGATCGTAGCAAACATCTGATTATGTAGTAAACTTTAAAAGTGAAATGATGACAATAACCAGCTGTCGTACAACCCACCTTAATTGATACTGTTTAAAGCTTATTAAGTTAATATTCGATTTTATGAGAAGGACCAACTTTTATTAAAAATAAGGTATTGTGCAGTTTTTGAGTCTCACTGTACAAATAATGTTAAAATAATCCGGTAGGTGCAAAACAGCCACATTTTAAAATTAGTTTAGAACATACAGTGTGTCATAAAAAGTCATGTTTTAAAATTATTTTTTTTAATAAACTATCTTTTGTTTTTTAGTAATTTTTTCTAATGGTCTGTATTTTAAATAAGTTAAAATATTTTTAAATTGTGGTTATACCTACAACCTACACATTTCTAGGTACAAGTATTAAAAAAACTAGTACAGCATAACCTATAAAAATAATGTCAACATTCTTATTTGAGAAGAATAACATAAGACATATTTATTTAAAAGCAACGTTCCTATTGGTGTATTGCGTTATTTTTAGGATCAATGTACTGATAAGGACTGAGGAGAAATTAAAAAAAAAAAAAAATAGGTAATTTTTATTCCAAGGGAGTTTTGGTAAAATTCTAAATTTTTGGTAAAAATTGTATGTTATATTTCTCAATTTTAAGTAAAATCAACTATTATATTTTGTTTTTTTTATACGCGATGGTTAATGGTTGCCTAGCTAAATTCTGAAGTTTTTCGAGGAATGACATATTATTTAGCAATTTCTTTTTCCTATAGGTGTATACATTTATAACAACCTACGGCAATAAGAAAAACTCAAATGCTTAGAAAATAATATTAAAAATCCCAAATGCCAATTCATGTATTACTTTACTATAGCTACGAATTTTGACAAAAGCCTAAAACTTTTAACATCTTAATAATTCACAAAAGCATTTCACTTGGGAGCAATTTTGTGGCTTTGAATCCTACGAAAGACCATGTGAATTTATAGGATTTGATGGATACCAAATTAGCAGAAATTGAATTTCTGTTAATATTACATCCAGATTATAAAAATCGCCATGCATTATCTTTTCGATGATGGTGGGTGGGGGTTTCCTCACCTGTAAGTCAAATGGCACCATCAATCATCTTTAAGTCGCCCCGGAGCGCCACGGCAAATAATAATAATAGCAGTCCCTTTCCCCGGACAAGCTCAAATTTTGGGGTTAAAATTCACTCGTAAGGAGGTGAATGAGGGAGATTATTATTATCTTTAAATTTACCCACATCTAAAACCTTAAAAATACAAACGTCATTATAATTAAGGTCCTCTAGAGTTGGGCGATATATCAGAAACTGTTATTTAATTATTAAAATTTTGGTTTTCTTTCGATTTCTTAAATGCTTTCCAGAAAAATATTAATAAATACATAAATTTATTAAGCCTATTAATAATAATAAAAATGTATTCTTCAAAGTTTACATTACAATATTTTAGATAAAAAATCTCAGCTTGATCTTCTCTTGGAGATTACAAGGTAAAGTCCGATTACAATATGAAGAACACCGCTACGTCATAACTATTATTGCGAATCTCCAATATAAATACCATTTATAACTATCAATAAATAAAAAATATGCGAGTTGTTAGGTGTAAAAATATTATTGCTACATTTTTATAATATTAACACGCCACTAAACCCCCAGAAGGCGGCAAAATCCGATGAATTACTCCGCCAATTGACGTAGCTGTGTTCATCTTATTGTAATCGTACCCTACCATGGGCAGATCTTCACGCCAGACAGCAGATGTTTTGATCTCCGTGAGTATTATTAGGCTGTTGTGGCCTTTCGTGCAATGAGCGGTAATTTATATGTGCTATGTTCGTTATTGTTTTTAGTTTTTAAAATGTATACACACCATCTCGGTTCATTTGTGTATTACACTTATTCGTTGTTTTGCTACAGAACCTTTTCCGTTATTTATTTTCACTTGTTTTTTGTCCATTGTTAGCGTCTATACTATGTCAGTTTTCCGTAAATTATAGTTGTTTAGTTTGTCATTGAAGTTTTGATATATCTTTGTTAATACGCCATTTTCGTAGGTCTGCATTTAAGTCTCTTACTGCTCTTGCAAGAAACATAGCTTTATTTATTTTAATGGTACTAATCACAATAACGATTCAGAGTCTATCGTCCAACTCTACTTTTTCTTTGATTTTACGTTTCTATCTTAACGATTTACACGTAGTTAACTGTTATAAAAAAAAATAATAATGAACTGACACCCGAAGATTATTTCTATCAATAACTTTACATTTGATCTTTTTTTATCTTTTGAAACAAATATCCCATATAAACAAATAACGAGGGATCCTAAAAATTATTAATAGAAAATGTACTTATTAATAATATCACAAGTAACCAGAAATTTTAGTATTGACCATCATTTAAAAAAGTGCGACATAAGTGTATCCTAAATACAGCTCTTCTGAAGAGTTAAATTTAAGCACGTACCGTATATTAAACTCTTATACTTGCATCGTTAATTTTATCATATATTTCTTTTGTGACTTTCTCGTAAGTCCCTTTAGTACTGTCTAAATAATATATGTGATCACTAATTTTCGATGGGTCGAATCCGTTCTGCTGCAGCTCGGTTTTCTTCAATTTGTATGTCCCTGAAAATAATTGTTTTCATTTATTTCCCTATATTCTGTAGTATTTTTTTTAATGATTGTAAAATACAGACTTTCGAAGTAAAGTCAAATAAAAACTTTTAAATCTCCCTAAACAACTTATTGAATGGAAAGAAATATTATTCAACAAAAGTAATGACAATTCGGTGTTCAAATTAAATTTTTACACTCTCGATGAATTTAAAAATTAGTCCCAATTAGCTATACTCAAGCCTATACTGAGTAAATTTCACAAACCTTAGGTCCTACAGTAGTTAATATTGGTATGTAAATTCAAATATTAATATTAAAATAGATAGTAATTTTAATATTTTGTATAAGCCTTATCATCTGAATATATTGAGTATCAGCTATCGAACGCTTTCCAATACGCTTTGCATGTGAAAACTACAGAGATTTAGCATTAGTGCGAGTAGAAAACAAATAATATCAGCGTTGCCGATGTATACTGCCCGGCCAACTTTAGAGAGGAAAAATTATCCATAGTCAAGGCAGACAAATTATTAAAAATGTTGCAACTCTAATGGAGACCATAATAATGTGTTTTTTGTTTAAAAATTAAAGAAATCGATTTTTATAATATAGCATTCTTCAAGGATTTTGCCAGTGCATGAAAAAATGACATGGTCAATGAATAAACCATTTAACTGAAGTTTTTTTATTTTTTCCAGCATTTTTCGCACAGTTGACATTTATTTATACTTAAGATCTATTCGCCTATCCTCAATGGCTGCAAATTTGTCTATAACATCATCGTAAAATTTTGGATTTTTTGATAACTGTTTAACAAGCTGTTTTACAATGGATATTAGGGCTAAATTAGAGTCTGTCTTCACTTGTTGAATTTCGTATAAAACTTTTAATGCGCTTTAAAGCTGAAAAACTTCGCTCAACTGACGCACTTGTGGCTGGGATGGTTAGTACTAATTCACACAACTTGACGACTTCACAAAGGGACTTATTTAAACCAGTTGTTATAAGAAAATTTAACACATTGATGGGCGTCTTTTTATCACCACTAATTTCAGTTGTTTCATAAACATCACTTAACTGGGACTTTATTGCTGGAATATCGAAAAAATGTTCATAATTTAATTTTAATGAATTAGAAGCTTCCAATGGAAATTTTGATGAATCGTAGTTACTAATATTAAAAATGCACAATTTAACAAATTTTAATTCGCTGAAATTTTGAAATCGAGAATTTATTTGTTGTAAAATATTATCAAAAATTTCGGCGTATAATCGACGATAGGAGATCTCTCTTTCGCCGACATTATCAATTCTAATTCTCTTTCTTCAGGTTCTAAGCCAATGTCATTTGACTTTGTCGGTAAAATGTCGAATAAAATGTCAGTAAAAGGGAAAATCTCTGCAAAAATGTTAGCAAAAAATTGAAATCAATGTTTTGTTCGAGCCAATTCAAATACCCTTTAGCGGCAGTAACAGTTTCAGCATCCCATGTTTCTTTATTATCCCAAACGTCTTGAAAAAAGTGAATCAAAGAATCACGGTTTTGAAACACTGTTTGCACTAAACCTCCATTGTAGTTCCATCGCGTCGGAGCAACTTTTGGAAACCTTTTTTGAACGTGAATGTCCAAAGCGCGAGTTATTTTCGATGACTTTGAAAATAAGGAAGCCAAACACTAAGCGTCGAAAAGAAAACTTTGCAATCTTTAATATTATCCATGCTTCGCGATAAAACCAAATTAAGTCTATGTGCTATACAGTGAACGAAAATTGCATGTCTAAACTTCTCTTTCACTTTAGCTTGAAGGCCTCCTAAATGGCCAGCCATTACGGCAGCACCATCGTAGCTCTGGGTAACAAGCTTAGAACCACATTCTAAACTTGAAATAATGTCACAAACAATGCATCTGCAGTTCGTTCGTTAGTGACGTCCAAAAATCCTAAGAATCGCTCTTGAGGAATGCCATCCAATACATATCGCACAATGGATAATTGACTTAAGTTTGCTACATCTGTGGTTTCATCAAGCGCAATTGATACGAAAGGTGCTTTTTTAATTTCACTTTTAATTTGAGCCATCACAACGTCGGCAGTGCATTTAATTAAATCATTTTTGATTCTGTTTGAGGTACCTCGGAAAGTCGTCGAATCAATAAAATGATTTTTTAGGGTATTATCGTATTTTGCTAAAAAACTTAGAAGGTCCATGTAATTTCCTCGATTGGCGGATCCACTTGCTTCATTGTGACCCCTAAAACTTAGTTCATGCTCTCCCAGGAAACAAGTTACATCTATTAATCGTTGTAAGACGTCCCTATTTTTTTACCCTTTCATTGCGAATTTTGTTGCTTATTTTTAAATGATTGTCCAAACTATGTTTTTTCTTTAATTTGTTATTTTACATGTCGTTTTACACTTTTGTGAAAATTATTCAAGTCTGTATAACCGACTGAGTTCCAATGTGTTTTTTCAGTTATATTAAAAAGTAGGCAAGGCCAGCAAAACAATTTCTTCAAAGTTTTGCAGCCGGTTAACCATTCATACTTTTCATAGAACCCTACGTGAAAATGCCCGGTAAATTTCTTTGCAGACTTTTCTACTTCGTCTCTAAATTGATAGGATCCTTTAATCTACTAGAATTAATAATGTCCGTTTTCTCTTCAAAATTTCTACTTGAAAATCCTTTTTTCAATAAAGGGCACACAGTACAAACACAATTTACCACATTATTATTGTTCACAGGCACATTGCATAGTTCCTCCATTTTACAAAAAGAAAAACAACTACGAAAAACAAACCGAAATCTATCTGAAGTCTACGATTTACCTCACACGTCGATTCGCGGTGCGAATTGCAATATGCGCAAGGCGACGTAAAAATTGCTGCCTCTCGACCGTATTTCACGTGTACAAACAGACTGACTACCGTCGCCGCAAAGCAGGGTCAATAACACGAAGCGAAATCAATTGAAAGATCAGCCGGCTTTTTCAAGACGCGCTTCCGACGATGGACTTGAAGTACCTATATGATGTGTGCGTTTACACAATTAATTTTCTCATGGGTGGTGCGTGCGTTTACACATTATACCAATGAATTGTTAGTACATTTACGAAGTTTACGTAATGTTTCAGAGAAAATATAGTACCTAATCTAATATTAATTTCTATGCATTGTAAACTGAAAAATATTTCAATGTTTATATTAATTTACGCATTCGAATGATATAAATCAAAAAATTGGTAATTGATAATCCAAAAATTGTATTTTGGAACATCTTGTACCTCGCTATCATTAAATATTAATTTTAAAAAGTATTTAAAAGTCTTAATGTTTCATTTTTAACGTTTTTAATTTCTTTAGGAGTACAATAGATTTGAAATTTCTGCTCTTGATATTCAGGCTTATTTGTTGCCATACAATGTATGTTAAAAATCATGTTTTGATGATTTAGCAATAAATATGTAAAAATAACGTTTGTGGATTTTGGAATGGGTGTATACAGAATATTGAATGAAAAAGTATTATTTAAAACTTACGAGAATTTGAGAAAATACCAACCTGTCAGATCTATTTTCCTTAACAATCTAATGAAAATTGGCCTAGCGTAAGACGGCAGTGATTTTTTCAATCCATTTACTAATTCATTCAAATCTACTTTTTCCTCTGGATCTAAAATGGCCGCCATTCCAGCCCGACCTTCTTGACCCCTGATCTCTACGCCAAATACAACTACATCTTTATAATCCACTAAGTTACTCATTACAGCTTCTACTTCGGCCGTGGAAACATTTTCTCCCTGAAAATATTAATAAGAGATATAAAGGGTTTTGAGAATTAATTTTTTTATCTTTTATCTTTAAATTTACCTTCCAGCGGAATGTATCTCCTGTTCGATCTTTAAAGAACAAATTTCCGAACTCATCTGCCACCAGAATATCTCCAGATAAGAAGGCACTATCACCATGATGAAACACATTGTATACAATTTTCTTTTTGGAAGCTTCTTGGTCGACGTATCCCAAGAAAGCTCGGGATGGATTATTGGGAATTATTTTGCCTATAAACACGCCTGGCTCGTTGGGTTTACAAGTCATACACAATCCATTGGCATCTCTTACGGGTTCCCCGGTGTTCGGATCCACTTTAATTATTGAAATCGGATAGACGGATGGTATAATTCTTGAAATGAATCCTATAGCTCCTACCGTATTGTCAATATTTACTAAAAAAAAATTGAGATTTAATAAAAAAATAGTAACAGTTGGTTAAGATATTAAATACTTGGATTTTGTAGTGGATAATAATATATTAAACTATCTCAAATCTCAATTATTAAAAGTGAATAAATAACAGTTTTTGTTACTTGTGAGAAATTTTTTCATGCGATACTTGAAAAAAAAATTATTAATTTAATTTTTATTATTTTTTATTAATTTATATTATTTTTATTAATTTTATTTATTTTTATTTTTTATTTGTTTATTTTTATTTATTTATTCCTCCCCTCCTTAAAATGTGAAAATCCAAAAACCTTTAAATACGTCATTATATGAGTAGCTACAATTCCAACTTACATGTTCCCACCTTTAAAAAATCGATACTTTCATCCCTCTTCCCCCTTCTCTCTATTTTTTCACTTTCCCCCTTTCCCTATTTCCCCCTTTCTCCAAACATTCGCATTTATGTAGTAGTAGGGTTTTATGATACTTCCCATGCCCCCCTCCTTTAAATGCGAAAATCCAAAAACCTTGAAATACGCCATTATTTACATTTATGAGTAGCTGCAATTCCAATTTTCAAGTTCCTATATTTAAAAAGGCGAAAGTCTTCACCTTACACCGTCATCTATTAGGAATTCATAGAACTAACCAATAAATACACAATATTTAGGCATTCCATACAAATGAAACGCGGTGCTAAGGTTTGGTATGTTTAAAGGGTTGCGACATACGATGTAGCCTATCTACATTATATGAAATCATAAATATTTTATGTTAAACACAATGAAAATATTATTTAAAAAAAAAACCGCTTATACATTTTCTATAAATTGGCAGGCTCGGCGACTATTATTTCAAATAAAAATAGCGTCCAAGATGGAAGGCTATGTCGCAACCCCTTTAAATTTACTAACCCTTCCCGCTGTCAGCTATTGTGTGACAGGTCGTTGGAATGTCGTATAATAAACATTTAATTTGCAATTACAAATATTGAGGTCAATAATTGAGATAAAAACTATCCTATCTTTTAAATTGGACCAAATAACAGATAGTTGCCAAATTTTATCAAAATCCTTTCAGCAGTTTCGGAGTTTATCGCGAACATACATCGTGACACGAAATTTTTATATATAGAAGATAAAAAGCATTTTCAATACATTTATAACAAAATATTTTTTTTTTATTTTTTTTTATCGGCTTCCACTGCTAAGGTTATTTCGACTCGTGTTCGGTGTAGGCTTTGTTACTCTTTCCCAGCGCCACTTTAGGAAGAGCACTGTTAATTAGAACCCAACAGTGAATGGTCTGGTGGGGAATCCTACCAAGGATCAGAATTAATTTTAAATAATTAAATGAAATGAAAAAATCCCGGCCAACGGTGGGATTCGAACCTGGGACCCTTGGATCCATACGCAGAGACTCTACCACTGAGCCACCCACCCCCTTATATTATTATTATTTGTTAAGAACAGGCAAGCGACATAGTCGATGAAGCTGCTCCTTTAGTTAGTGACAAAATTTATTCTAAATCACTACATGACAGTAAAAACCTAATACACTATAAACTATAATGAATAAAATTATTTTTTTTTTCGAGTTCTATATCCACTCTCGCCTTGAACTGGTTTATGTTCTGGGCTGAGACTGTATGTTCCTGGAGACCATTCTACAGATATACAATTCTGTTTGTTACGAATTTTTTTCTTTGCAGTTTATTACACTTTTCTTCATCTAATTTCTTCGAGTGATCTCTCAAGGTATCTTTGAAACAAAGCAATTTAGGACACATGTTTATATGAACTTAAGTCATAATATGAGCCAAAAAATTACCTCCTTCAATTATCATATGATATTTAGGAACACCTTGTATAAAATTATATTGGGAAATGTCCCCAAATACTTTGATGAATTTATTACGTTTAATCACCAAGTTCATAATCATCCCACAGGAACAGTTACTGACTTTTATGTAACTAAATCAAATTACAGTCGCACTATGAACTCAATTTTTCATAATGGTTTAATTGTCTTTAATGCCCTTCCATATGAGATAAAAACTGCAAATAACGTTAGGAGGTTTAGAAAAATGTTACTAAACCATATCCAACAAATATGTCATGAACACACCTCTGATTAATATTCTTTCTTTTAAATTTTTATATTTCTGTCTGTATATTTCTTATTTTATCTTATTATTTTATATAATTTTTTATTTATTATTTTATATTATATCTATTAGTATTTAATATTTTATATTGTATTCAAGAGCTGTTCAACAGCATTTATAAATTGTATGTATATTAGGATTACCTATTTAATAAAATTTCTTAATATTTAGGTAAAACTTTTGTTCTAGGCTTTACTTTACATGTTCTCACTTCATGTTCTGAGATATGGTCGTTTGTTTAGCAAAACTAATTATGATAAATTTAAAATTAAAGCCACATTTTCAATTGTTGTAGCTGTATGCTAACTGAAGATCAATTTAAAGTATTTTCGCACCATTTGTACAAAACGTAAATTCAGTTTTTTAAATTAGAAAAATTAATATGAATGTGACAAAGATGTAAAGTAAAATAAATAGAACAATGCCATATGTCATACAAAATATGAGCGACCGTTTCTCTATAGAAAATAAATACTCCTTTGGCTAATACCACAACATAATTTTTTTTTTAATTCTCAGTCTTTTGTTAATCAGGTAGGTAATTCTTAATTTCAGTCCTGAACAATCTGTTCGCCATTATAACAACTCATTATGGAGTATTCTATTCAATATTTCGAAACAATATAATACCCTGGTAGTAACTAAATCTCGAAACAATTTAGAATAAAAACTTGTCTTACCTATATTAGCATTTCCTTCTGTTGCTCCATAAAATTCTCTTACGTTATCTATATGAAATCTTTGTATAAATTCTGTCCAAATTTGTGGACGTAATCCGTTGCCAAAAATCATTCTTAAATTGTGTACTGGGTCCTTATCACTAGGTGGAACTGCCAAAATATATCTGCACATTTCACCAATATATTGTGCAATCTAAAAGAAGAAAAAAAAACGTATTTCAATGTTTTATTGTTACATGGTTACTGGACTATATAGTAGTCACATTCATTATTGCATTTAGTCATATTCGCAATTATTGGCTGCTTACGCGCGCGAATAATATCAATTTACTTTTAAATGCCTAATTAAAGTTGCGATATTATATCTAGTTGCATGTTTTAAGTCTTAACCAGAACAAATCTGATTTCCAGGATTTCCACGTTGAATAATAGATATTTAATAAATTATAAGATCGACTGATTATCTTTTATTCGTTTCCCTATGCTAAAATCGTTTAATAATACGAAAATCATTCATTAATGAACTCATAAATATAAAAAGATATATCAATATTAAAAAAATATGTTATACGTATAATGTAACTTACTGTGCATTTGTATTTTCGGCAATCAGCAAAATATCCAGAGGCAGAAAACTTTTTCCTTATTACAATAGTAGCACCATAAATAAGCATTTGACCTATTGTCATACATCCGCCGGCTGTATGGTATAAAGGAAGGGGCGTATAAAATATATCAGACGATTTAAATCCGCATAACCAATGTATCGCACCTGCTATAAATATAAACCTAAAAGGAAGATTACGTTGAATTAATACTAAGCAAGGTTGTTTTATGTTTAAGTTTATATTTTAAATAGAAAACAAAACTTTATTATTACTATTACTAGTAAATGAAACACAAAGTGCAACTCGTACAAAGGAAACTGCAAAAAATACAAATTATCCGGATGTCTTATTTTTTTCTTAGAAATAGTATTGTCACAAAAATATTTTATTAAAATGCATCTTTGTTTTAAAAATTTAGAAATGGGGACGAGGCTTAACATTAGCACTATATATCAGGTCAATGTAAAGGACTGGTGTATTTTTTAATTACGACAAGCATTAGGTTTTACATGATAATATTAATAGGATAATTTTAAAAATGCTCCAAAAAAAAATTTCTATATATTTTATATTTCAATATATTTTTAAAAATTAGTCACTACCGGTATAGACGAGCTGGTCACTTACAACATGCAGAAGAAATTAGGAAGAGGCAGTGTCGTGGTGATGTGCGTTTATTATTTAAATATTGATTAGTTTGTTTAAATTTTTTCTATTTATAGAATTATTTGGAAAAAAAAATGACTAACCAATAATTTTTGTACTTCCAATTAAAGATATTAGAAAATGAATATTTGGAAATAATAGTCAACTTCACGCCAAATTGATACTTTTAAAATATATAAATATTTACCATAACAAACAGTTTTCTTTTTCTTGTCAAAACTTGTTAGTTTCCAAGAAAGTAGATTATTTTACATTGTACATAGTTATGGATATTTTAATTTTTTTCTCGTGTATTGGGTGAAACAGTGTTTCGATTATTTTGTTCAGGTTTAGGATGAATTAAGACTTTTTAAAACACCGAACGAACAAGAATTATTACTAATTGTACATTGTCCAAATGTATTTTAATATAACCAATCGTCGTTCTTCCTATATATAATTTCAAAATCAATAGAGGTACCTATATATATTTATTTAAATACCAAAAATTTTTTTGTTTTTAATTTATGACTTTCCTTTCTAGTTATTTCAGGCTTTTTCCGGTTATTTTGTACAACCTATTGCAGCACCTCTGTATTTTTCCAAGAATGCCAGTCTTCATCATCGTAGTAGATGGTCGTGTTATCCGCAAATTCTATAATATTACCTTTGGTTTCTAATGCAAACAACTTGTTAATATAAATATCAAAGACGTCGATCCCTGTGGTACAACAAATTCTATTTGTTTTGGCACATCACCTGTTCTTACAAAATGGAATTGGTTGCTTAAATAACTTTCTGTTGGTTGTTATACAAAAATAATATTCACTCAGTTTGTTTAGTCTATAGAGAATGGCATTCTAGCAGGTTGAAACACTTATTCTTTATATTATTGTCAACAATATATATGTGTATTTTTAAGGTCGATTGAACCAATAACATCCAGTAGTGTTTAGTCATATAATAGCACTCGACTAAGAAACATTATATTTACGGCTCTTTTAATAAATGAACTAGAAAGGATATTCACTGTGTATTTAATATAAGAACCTACCCATACTTCCAACACTTTCGAATAAATTTAGGGTTTTTCCTCTAATTCCGATGTCGTGCAAGGATTGTAAAAGAAGTTGATTGCTTACGCTGTCAAAGGCCTTTGACAAATCTATAAATACACACAGACTTGGACGAGTAGAATTTAAAGATTCTGAACTAGTTCTGCAGTACTCCATAATCGGACGAATGTATAATTTATATAGCCGGAGAGAATTTTGAAGACACTTCTTTAATAACAACATTTTTGTCACTTGGGAGAATGTGCTCAGACCAGCTTACATTATCAATAATTATAACACCTAGATCATTGTAATATTTAACATTTGACTGATTAGAAAGTAATTATGACGAGTATTATTTATGCCAATATGGAGAGCTACACTTTTATTTGTATTTAGAGGTAGCATCCAATCTGAGCACCTGTTAAATATGGAGTCATGTTCATCTTAAAGCTGTTGCAACTAAATATGTTTGTGTCATCTGCGTAAAAACATTATTGCACTTGTAATGCAATTGAAGGTCACTGGTATATAATGTAAATAAGAGCGGGCCCGAAACTGATCCCCGAGGAATTCTTCTGAAGACAATGCGAATTTTAATACATAACTTAGTTAATTTATTTTAAATAATGTCGTCGATATACCGTTTTAATTCAATCCATTTACCTACTAATACTAGAAACTTGTTTTCCATTAAAATATATGCAAAACGGCTTTAGTATCAAATGAAATGATTCATAGTAATATGGAAATTTCTTGATAGTCATGTCTATTGTTCTATTGTAATTAAGGAAAATGTAAATTATTGAAGTATTCAGTAACCTCATTCTATTTAGTCACTATATAAAAAAAGAAAATTAATTGTGAATAAAAATAGTACAAATACTACAGTCGAGTATGTCTTGGAAATTACGGTTAATTATTTTGTGAACACGTATTTCAAATAATCGGCAAATTCCCTAGGTGTGTCGGTAATAAGATATTTCGAATACATTTACACACGCTGTAGAACAAAATGATGTTTTACAAATTTTAAATTGTTTATTTTTGTCCCCCGATGTATTTTAAAATTATATTGACTGCATCAGAAGATGAAAAAGATTCTTTTCCGAAACGCATTGTATAAAAATTATAAAACAGTAACTCACCTCGAATTACTTATAACAGCAGCTTTTGGCATGCCTGTCGTTCCTGACGTGTAGATGTATACCAAACAGTCGTGATGATTTATTTTTTCTTTAATTTGCGGAGGCGTCGGGGCGGCATCTTTTATTAAAGCATCCAAATTGTGATACTTCTGATCCACATTGACCGTGTTATTATTGCAGCTGATTTGGTATAAGGCAACTTCTGATTCTATTTTATCTAATATTTCACTCATAGCTAGAAATCATACATGAAAATATTGAAGCTTATTGTTTGTGAAGCCAATCCATAAATAATCATATGAGTATATATAACGTCGATTGAAACATATTTAGTGAAATAAATATTTTTAGAAATTCCTAAATAAAATCTCAAGAATACCCCTACGAAATACCTACTCAAAATTATTAATGAACTCCCAAAAGGAGAAGACATTGTATAATTGAAAAAATCAGTCCTGTGCGGGATTCGAATCCACCTATTCGTGTATTAGACACACCGCCTTTACCAGTTCGGCTATTAGGACATGACTGTTCGTCTTTCGAATTGTTAAATTGAATATAAAAATAAGATTTCGAATCACACTCGGCGACAGATATTTCTTAATTTTTCAATAAACCATATACTTAACAGCATTGTCTAGGAAAAACACACCAAAGCATGAAGACCCTTGCCCATTACAATCAGATTGTAATATTACTTAACGCACTTTCTGTTTTTTCACAAAAAAAATTCACTGTGTGAAAATTGTGGAAACTTGTTTCAACTCTCCTGTGCAGTGAAAAACAAGATAGAATGCAAAAAAGTGTGTGATTCAAGAATCGTTTGCTGCAACCTAAAAAACTACAATCAATCAATTGAGGACAAACAAAAGGATCAAACTAATTTGGTAACACATTCCAATTTATTAGAAGAAATTAATTTTCTGAAATGGATTATAAAAGAAAAGGATGAAAAATACGATCTTTTGGAAGAAAATAATAAATTACTGAGACAAACTTACAATCTACTAGAAGAAAAACTAAAAATACAACAACAACAAAGTGACAAAAAAACACAACACAAACAACTCTGAAGCAAACACCAGAAATCATTGAAGCAGAGAAAGTGTTGCCAGATCTACCAAAAGACTCGCGAACTAGGGCAACTTCAGCAATCCAAACAAATACACAAATACAGACACATTGAATAAAATAATCCATCTAAATCATGATGAGGGAGGAAATGATGGCTTTGTTACTATGAACTATAGAAGGAATAAACGCATTAAGAAAAAAAAAATTGCGAAAGTGAGATATCAGAAGACTTTGGTGTAGAAAGAAATATATGCCTATACTTATATCGAGTAAAAAGACATGTTACTCCAGAAAAAATAAACACTTACATAAAAAGTCAGGAAACTTTTAAAAATGCTAATATTGTAGTAAAAGAATTACCTACAAAATAATCACAAAACAAGTGCTTTATGTTTGGCATTGACCACAGATATTTACGAACTCTCAGCTTGGCTCAAATCTGTAGGTTTCAGACGGTTTAACTTCCAAAAATTTAACCAATACCAGCAAGAACATGAGGATTTTTAATGGTACACCCAGCTAAAGCTACTCGAAGTCAGTGCAAGAACTTAGATACCCTATCGAAAAGATATAATGCACAGTACATTGGGAAACATTATTTGGTGAAAAATCTCATTTTAATGCACTTCAATATTCAAAGACTTGGTTAACAAACTTGACTCACTAAGCATTACATTGGACAAAGAACAATTAGACATATACAGGGTGTTTTTTTAATATTGCGAAAAAATTCAGAGGCGTGTCCCTTGGACGAAATGAAGTTCCTATGAACATATGTCCTACGCCTTTTGAACTACAGGGTGGTAAAGTTATAAGAAAAATAACTTATTTTTTGCGATACATTTAATACCCCTGTAGATATTTTTCTGAAAATTATTTTTAGAATTCAATATCAAACATCATATAAATGAGCCTACAAGAGTAAGAAATTCCAGCCAAACTTGTATAGATAATATATTTTCAAATCATACAACAGAGATAATTAAAGTACCGGACTCTTTTCTCTCTGACCATACTTATCAGGTGGTAGAAGTTGAAGGGTATCAAAAAATGGGAGAACATGATCATAAATTTACATATAAAAGAAACTATAGTGACAGAAATACTCAAACATTCTACCATCTAATAAGAAATGAAAAATGGGATGGATTGTATAAATCAACTTTCCATGATAAATTCAGTTTGTTTTATGATACATTTTTATACCTTTACAATTGTTCTTTCCCTATGAAAAGCAAAAATAAAAAAATGGTATGACCCTAGAATAAAAAGTATGCATGACCAATTATGTGAAATGAGGAAAATTGAAAAACGATTAAACAGTCCATTCTATACTTCTAGGTACAAAGCATTTAAAACAATCTATAAAAATACTGTTAAATATTACCAAAAGAATAAAAATGATGAAATAATAAAAAATTCTGTAAATGTTATGAAAGATAGCTGGAAAATAATCAAAAATGAAACAGGTGCGGTACACTGTAGTTCCTCTATACCCGAACTAGAATAATGGAAACAAACTAATAAATCCTCTAGAAAAAAGTAATGTATTAAATAATTATTTTGTAGGATTAGCTGATATTTGTCCAAAACCAGAGGGAAACGCTAGTATTCAGACAGTAAATTTTCCTAACGGATTTTTTCTCACACCAGTAGTCCCAGAAGAAGTAATAACTTTATTGAAAAAAACCACTACTAAACCATCCGCTGGTATAGACAATATAAATGGCAGAGTTCTGGCTACGGTTGCTGAATACATATGTGTGCCACTTATACATACCTGATCAACTTATCTTTCACTACCGGAACTTTTAAAGAATCTAAATGCATCCCAATCTATAAAAAAAAAGCCGGGTACAGACCCTAAAAATTACCGCTCTATATGTATACAGAGTCAAATAGCTAAACTTTTTGAACCAGCATTTTCCACTAGACTAGTAAAATATCTCGAAAATTTTAAAATAATTTCCGACAGCCAATATGGGTTTAGAGCTAATAAATCAACCAACACAGCAATATTAGAATGTATAAACTATATATATGAAGAACTTCACCGGAAACAGCATATTATAGGTATTTTTTATGACCTTACCCGTGCCTTTGACTCAATAGACCACAGGTTACTATTAAAAAAACTCGAAAGAGGAAAGCCACATGACTGGGTAATCTCATATTTGGCGGATCAGCGTCAGACAACAGCTATTGATAAGTCTTCATCTGAATGTAAGAGTAATGCATTAGGCATTCCCCAAGGCACATTGCTTGGGCCAATATTCTTTATAATTTTTATAAACAATTGCGAAACATCAGATAAAGCTGTTTTTTATGCGGATGATGCCAATATGATACTGTCTGAGAAATGTGTCAGTACTCTAGTAGAAAATGGAAATAATATCACAATGGAATTTGAGGGATATTGTGAGGAAAATGGCCTTCAGCTAAATTGCGAGAAAACATATCTGAGGTTCTACCTAAAAATATTACTCCTGGCGAAGATTTGCTAATTAAACTTTCTAGAAAATCAATAGAAAGTACTCAATCAATGAAATTTTTAGGTGTAACTCTTGATCCTAAGCTGACGTGGGAGCTTAATGTCAATAAGCTATACTCAAAGCTGAGTAGCACCTGCTTTATTTTGAGAAGTCTTAGGGATAAAGTTTCCATTAACATCTTGCGAATATTATATTTCGAACTGGTACAATCTCAGTTACAGTATGGCTTGTTGGTATGGGGTTCCTTCTCACATATAGATAAAGCATTCATCATGCAGAAGAAAATTGTAAGGTGTATGGACAGAGCTCATCCTTTAGCAAGCTGCCGAAATCTATTTAAGAAATATGAAATTCTAACAGTGCACTCTTTATATATTTTACATTTAATACGGTATATCTATGATAATAAGAACCAGTTCACCTTAAACAATGAAATTCACTCATATAATACCCGCCATAATGTTGCCATTCATGCACCCTTCTCAAGACTGAGAGTGAGTCAGAATTCTCCCAATTATATAGGAGTTAAATGTTTCAATAAAATGAAAATGCTTATTGACTTAGTCGCCCAAGGAACAGCATAAAGAATAAAATTATTAACTTCCTCTACAATAATACATTTTATTTGATGAGTTCCTCAATTCTTGAACTACACAATGAAGGTATCATAATCTGTTAACAAGGCCATTGTCTAAATGTTAAATTTTCGTATGTATATAATTAAGGGTTTACTATTTTTTAAGATAATTGTTTTTAACAAACTTGACTAGCCTGATAAGTGGCTTTCACTATATGAATGTCTTTTTATGGTGAATAAACTGATTTGATTAGATACTTTTCGGTAAATCGTTCATTAAATGGTTAGATTACACATAGGCCCGTATGTTCCCCATGAAAAAAATAAATACCGAAAGTATATCGCCTAAAACCGGTGAAATAGCCTATCAAAGAGAAGTTACTATTTTTAAATCTAACATTTTACATATTAAACGCTATGTAACTAACAGTTATACTAGAAATACTAATATTATTCAAATTTTGATACGTGTTATTTTTCACATATGATTCTCAGTTTCCCAAAATAAATACTGAAAATCAATAGTCAGAATCAATTATTTTGTTAAAAAATACATCACGAATTAATAATGAATATTTGATGTACTTATTTTCATGGTTCTTATTTGACTACTTTTTAGTCATTGGAAGTATTATTATAATTTGATATTTAATTTAAAAAGAAACATTAAAAGAATGATCATTTTAAAGATAATTTTTTAAGTATGAATCAATTAAAATAGCTTACCTTCGGATAATTCAGTGCCAAAAATTACTGCCTGAGTTTTGGCAACTGTAATGGAATGTACAAGTGTAGTCAGTCTTAAATTTGTATTTATAAGCGGGACAACAACACCTATTTTGGAAAGCCCTAACCATATTGCAACAAATTCGGGCTTATTTTCTAAAAATAAAGCGACAACGTCGCCCTTCTTATAACCGTGGCTCCTAAAAATATTCGCTATTTTATTGCTGTATTCTTCAACCTGAAATGAATATAATTGGTTCATGAAATATGGAATTTATATGATTAAAGTATCAAAAAATTAATTCATTAATTAAAAAACAAATCATTATTTCTCTTAAATCTTTGGGGTATGCGAAGCTGAATAAGTTAAAACAAGTTGCAGCAAATAATTAATCATAAAATCAATTTAAATAATACAAACAGGTCAAAAGTGAACCTACGAAATTCTAGAAACTATATTCAATGATCTCTGAAAATCATACGCATTATTCTCCATGTCCAATTTGTTTCCACAAAATCTTAAAAACGTATTTTGAACAGGTTCAATAGGCGAGATATGAATATTTATTGAATCATTAATAAGACATGGAATTTTGGTTCGGGAAAGTTCATATGATAATGCAGTATACAAATTAAATACAATACAAAAGAAAATACTAAAAATCATCTATGGTAAGAATAAAATGTATCCAACAGATCTGTTATTTACAAATGATACTTGCAATATCAGAACCATCTACATGTCAACAATATGCAGTTACATAAATACTCGAATTTTCCTACAAAACAATGTAAATCATCAATATCACATAAAAAATAAAGTAAATAAAAAAATTGGTATTCCGGTGAATCACAAAAACATTAACCTATTTTTTTTTAATTATTTTGCACCAATAATGTATACTATGCTCCCAGTCAGAATAAAAATAATATTAAAAACCGGCAAACTGCGAGTTGATCTCGTGCATAAAGGGTTCCGAACCATCGTACAAGATTTAATGGGATGGGCTTCTTCAAGGAAAGGAATTTTCAGAAATGATTTTTACTCTTTGTGACGTTTTGTACTCGGTAATTGAGTTATTTGTTCCCTTAAAGAAATTTGTTATAAGCAGATTTCCACATTGGTATTCTTTTCAACACAGAAGCTTGGTCAACGATAAAAAGGTTGCACATAAGATTTACAAGCTAAACAGGACTCCCCAAAATTATGAAATATTCAGTCAGTTAAGATCACAATGCAGGATTATATCTAGATAATGCTATTCAAATTACATACATTCTGTTTAAACTTCTGTTAAAAGTAATGTTAAAGCCTTTTGGAATTTTGTAAGTGCTAAAAGATCTAACAACACCATACCTGATAATATGAACCTTGAAGGCTCTTTTGCTTCTTGTTGCAGTGAAGTATCAAATCTGTTTGCCAAGCATTTTTCTTCAATTTACACTAATCTAAATCAAAATTTTAACGATATTGAATCAAAACTTAATGTTTCCTCTTACCACATTTCTATTTCGACCATTTACGAGAAATTATCTAATCTTGACATAAAGAAAGGTTCAGGTCCTGACATTATTCCGCTCATCCTATTCAGAAATTGCAGCTTCGTATTGTCTTGCCCTCTCTTCTATATTTTCAATAAATCTATCGCCACAGGTGAGTTTCCAGATTATTGTCACCCCAATATACAAATCGGGTAGCAAGTCAGACGTCAAAAATTACCGACCTATATCTATTCTCAGTACTATACCTAAGGTTTTTGAGAATATTATAACATAGCCGGAGAGCTAGTAACACACATTTCATTAAGTGTTTGATGCACTTTGAAATTTTGTAATTTGAAATTATTTGGATGGAAAAGCAGATATACCTGTGTTGGCTAGACCCAACCCGGGACACCAGGTACTGCGCATAATAGAAAGAGGTCGTAAAATATGACCCAAAAAAAGTGTTTGATTCAGAGGCCAACAAACAACAATTGAAAGTTTAGGTAATTCTAAAAATACTAGTAATTTAGGCAGACACTTTTGAGAGGGTTTATAATTGATAAATCAACCCCAAAGTTGATTTTTTTTTAAATATGATTTAAAGTGTTTGAATCACGCTGAAATTTTAATAGCGTCTTAATTAAATATAAAAAAAAATAATTCCAAAAAGGCAGACACTTTTTCCGGGGTTTAATTGCCGGCCAACATAAAAATCATGATTCCTATACTTTCCTTATCTGTATACAGATAGGAAAGTAAAAATGAATGAACCTCGTTATGCGCCACTATGCATTGAATAAGTATATACTTTTTACAAACTAAACATTTTAAATTACCAAGACTGTGAAATAATAAAACAATAATATATTTCCTTTTTTTTTTAGGAAAAAAAAGAACTAAAAGTTTCGGGGCTCGAACCACCAACTTGCTATCAACACTATCAAAATTTGGACACTTTTTTTGGGTTATATTTTACGACCCCTTTCTATTATGCGCAGTACCTGGTGTCCTGGGGTGGGTCTAGCCAACACATGTATATCTGCTTTTCCATCCAAATGATTTCAAATTACAAAATTTACTACCTTACCTATGACTGCTCTGACATCATAACGGATCATCAATATGGTTTTTGTGCTGGGAAATCGACTGAATTAAATCTAGTTACATACGTCGACTTCCTGTCGGAACCTTTGGAGAAGGGTTGCCAGATTGATTCTGTGTACACTGACTTTTCTAAGGCCTTTGACAGGGTCAAACAATCTCTCTTACTTCAAAAGCTCGATAAATATGGCATAAATGGGGTCGTACTGCAATGGATTAGTAGCTGTCTTACGAACAGAACTCAAATAGCGTGAACCATCACTATTCTAACGCATTTCAATTTACCTCAGGTGTTCCTTAAGGATCACACCTTAGTCCCTTATTATTCAACGTATTTATAAATGACATCATTCATTGTTTTCAGTATGGCAAAGCATTATTGTTTGCAGATGATTTAAAAGTTTTCCTAGTTATTAAAACCATTTATGATGCCCTCTGGCTTCAGTCTGACCATGATAATATATTAAACTGGTGTTCCTTAAATGGTATGGACTTGAATTCCATAAAGTGCCATGTCATGCGCTTTTATCGATCCCATGTACCAACTACTACTTTTGATTATAACTTAAATGGTCATATCTTGGAGTCTGTTAATCAAATTAAAGACCTTGGAATTATTCTAGATCCCACTTTAAGCTTCAACCAACACATACCTAAGGCTATCCATAAATCCATGAAAATGTTAGGTTTTATCAAAAGGCTAACATATGATTTTACTGACACAACTGCAATTAAAATCCTTTACTGTTCATTAGTTCGACCTCACTTAGATTACTGCTCTTCTGTCTGGTCTCCACATTAGATAACGCATACCAGAAACATAAAAAATGTGCAAAATAAGTTTCTTAGATACATAGCCTATAAATTGGGAATCCTCTGCGACTATGGTTTGATATAGAATTTTCTAAACATCCCCCTCTTTGGAAACTAGAAGGAAACAGGGAGACCTGACATTACTTTTCAAAATTATCAATGGCAGATGCAGCTGTACTGAACTTATAACAAAAATAAAACTTTATGTTCCAACCCGCTTAACTCGACAGCAACAAACATTTTATGCACCTATCGTTTAAAGTTTAAACCATACTTTTAGCAGCTGCATTCCAAGAATGTCAAGATTAGCCAACACTTATAACGATCTTGAGATATTTAACACCCCCTTTCATAAATTTATAAATCACTTAGTACTGATCTTTAATCTTTGATCTTTAATTTTTAATGTTTAATGTAAATATTTTATTCAACCTTATTGTCTTTTAACTTCTTTATCTATTTTAGTCTATATGTAATGAATTATACCACGTTTGTATTTCAGCACCATATATATTTCACTACATTTTAATTATAATTTCAAATTGTAATTTATTTCTTAGATGGACTTGCCCGTAAATAAATACTATGTAGGTATTTTTTAAATACTTTATTATGGATCATGAGATGCAGCCCGCTGACAGAGACGGACGGACAGCTGAGGCTTAGTAATTGGGTCCTGTTGGTTACCCTTCGGGTACGGAACAGTGTTTTTAAATACATATATCTTTAACAACTATTACTTGTTTAAAGAATTATTTAAATAAAGTAAACAACGTTATAGTCTTCTTTATATAGAAATAATTTAAAACATTGTAATGGGACTTTGAGTCTTGAGAGTTTCAAAATTAGATATAAATAAATGTACAAATCGTAATGAGACACATACAGATGTGCCTAGCATCTAGGCATCTCCAAGAAAATGTATATAACTTACGATAAGATTATTTGGTTGTAACATAATTATATAACTATCTTTGTATTTTATAAATAAACAAATTCGTATTATGAAGAGGCAAAGAGTAGAAACTTGGAATATTTAAAAATATTAGGTTAGGTTGATGAATAGTAGAAACGAAGGCCATAAGTGAGAGTCCTGTGGGACACCGGAAAACAACACAATTTAGCCTGAAGTACTATTGCTTTGCACTAATTGGATCCTAACTTCACAGTTAGAAGATCCTCCTTAATCCCCCATTTTTAATCAGATTTTTTCAGAATCAACAGGCTTCATCCCCTTGTAGATCTTGAATTTTTCGGAAAATTTCAAGTTGATATCGTTTTTTGTTTCTGAGTTAAGATTTTTTTATATTTCAACCCTTCTTTAACCCCTCTCCACCCCATTTTTATTCAGATTTTTTTCAGAATCTATAGGCTTCAACCCTTTATAGTTTAAATTTTACTAAAACCCATGTTGTTATCGCTTTTCGTTATTGATTTAAGATTTCTTTTTTTAATTTCAAAATACGTGACTTGAAACATGATTGAAACTCAAGGTAGATTAATATTTTTTCGTTTTTAAAAATTTACTTTGCTAATTTAGTGGTCTAGTGACCTTCGTTGGACCTAGTTCCAACCAGGCAGGAAAGAGTGGCAAAATGTAACCTTTTAAGACAAAAGAACTATTAAAATAAAAACAAGAATTATAATTTTGTGAAACGTTTGTATTGCTGTGGTCACATCTTATGAATCGAAAGAAAAATCCCCGAATTTGACTACTTTATGGGTATTCACATTCATATTACCAATTCAAGATGATTTAAATATTTCAGTTCAAAAGATTAATCATTTACTACATAAACAGTAGGTTGTTAAGCTGTTTTTCTATTGTGATCCCAATTGTGATTTTGGCAGACACACTTCTTTTTTGAATTTGAACCAGGTTTTTTATTTATTAGGTATATTTAAAATTGATATTTTTGTATTTTTGTATTAAAAATATTCTTAGTGATATGCTAATTGTTTTATGATCACAAATAGTTGTAGAAACATTCTGTTCAATATTTTTACTGGTATTAATTAATTAACTTTTTTGATTGCCCTTAAAATGACGAGAGTACTTAAAGTTAATTAATACATATTATTTGTTTTTGTTTAATTTATATCCACTGATAATAAATACCAAACAAAGGCAGGGCTCATAAAAAAAATTATAAATTATACCTACGCAACAGTTCTTCCATTAATTATATTTTTTAATTTATAAAAAAATGAACCGACTCTGTCCATTTAGTTTGCACAAAGCCGGTCCTGAGAATAGAGTGACTACAATTTGTCAATGCAGTTTTACGAGCGAAATGTATGAAACTAATTACGGTGGAACATTTTAATATCACTAAATTGTCAGTACAATAAAATTGTAATTAAAATTAATTAACGTTGTAGAAATTTACAGGAAAGTTTATTTATATAGGTACCGACAAATTTATCGAACAGCTATTATATTTTCAAAATTGAACGGATTGATAGTTAATTAATTGTTAGTAATTATGATTACACCTGACCTCAATATTGATATTAAGACAAATATGTACATTTATATTAAAGTAAATTACATTTATAGTAAACAGTACCATATTTTCCATAATTTATTAAAATATTTATAGTATGAGAATTTTTTGAAGCCCCATGCATGATTCTCAATAGTCATATTTAATTAATTAAAGATAAATAAAGAGTCCTAGATACATTTCAAACAAGAACTAGAGAATTATCATTTGTAGAATTTAAAAATGAAACATCGTTGAGATAAATGTTGTCCTTTGGACTACAAAACAGAATGAATCAACTATCCTGTGCGACATCCAGGAATGATAAAAATCCTAAATAGTTACATTATTATTTTATATTTTTTTCTTATAAAAATCCATTAGTCACACAGCTAAAAATATATTTGCCTTTTAATCAAAACAGTCGCCGAACGTTCAATATGTATACAAATTTATAATAACATATTATTAGCAACTTTCATAATTGTTGTTTTCTCAAGTAATTAACACATAATTAAGTAAATTACATTGGAAGGGCGACGAGCTTCTAAGGAAAAACCTAAGTAGGTATTTATAATAGGTACTAGGTAGGTAGAGTGCGTCGTTCACGAAAGTTATGTTTATGTATATACATTATTAGATGTCACAAAAACATAAGTTAGCAAAGACAAAGATCGAAAAAAAACACCTCAAAATCTATAAGAATCTAAGTAAATCCCTCCTAACCATGTAGGTTGGACTATATTATTTTATTAGCCAATAATATAATTTGTGAAAAAAAAAAACAGCAGAAAAACTGATAAGTACAGAAAAATATCATGCACTAAAATTGAGCAACAGATAAGTTAAGAGATGAACGATATGTTTTAAAAATGTTATAAATTAATCATTTAACAAACTAAGCATTGGTGATAGTATTTACTAGATGTTACCGTTTAAAAATGTTACCCATACATGTTAGGCCGAGTTTTAAACTCGCGTATCTAGGACAACACTAATCCTTTGTAATTGCTGTGGTGGGAGGTGTTTGTGTGAATACGTCTTGTTTTTATTTGCGCCGTGACTAGCAGTAGAATTTTATAAACCTTAGAAGCAAATTTCACATACATGAACAAATAATAATAGCCATGACAACAAAAAGACGAAGCAACGACTAATCGTAGGGTGGCGGCGAAGCCGCCACCAGAAAATTGTAATCCATACCTGGCTACGCCGACCGGCATAAACGCCAACGGCCTGAACACAGCTCACCTACTCTGTCAAAAAGAGACCGATGTACATATAAAGGTTTCTTCCCACAAAAAATCAGTGATTCAGAATGCAGAAAATTAAATTCCAGTAAGAAAGCATTTTTTTTTGGTTAGGTTACAAAAATAATAGATGACATGCGCACTACAAAGGATTAGTGTTGTCCCCGATACGCGAGTGCGGCGTCCAGGAAACACTACTGTTATTGGAGTTGTCTAAAACTCGACCGTAGAGCGTTAATATTTGAAATCCCAACCTATATTCGCTACTAATTAAAATTTGAGAACAATTGAAAAATTCTGCTCACCTTCACTGGGTTATCCGACATTGCCGGCAACGAACAGTATACATTTTTTTTGTTTTTTTTTTTGTGCCACAATGGGTTAACGAACGCTCGAAATAATTAGAGTTAGGACATCTGAGTTTCCAAAGGTTATTTTGGAACCCCAATTAGACATTTTTTTATTTTGGGATCTACTTTATTTATGACCAATTGATTATTATGATTACTGCCCTTATTTAACCACTAACGTTTCTATTTAACTATTTATTTTGTATTTTGATTCAATACGCCGTGAAGCTATTTATACTGGCTAAATAGCTTCCAAGGAACCACCGTTTTATGAGTTTGTTTTTTTTAGATTTAAGTGGTATTTATTTATTTGATTTATTCGTTAATTTTGTATTTTGTTTCAATACACCATTAAGCTGTTTATACTGGCTACATAGCTTCCCAGGAACTACCGTTTCATGAATTTTTTTTAGCTTTCAGTGGTATCTATTTATTTGCTTATTTTGTATTTTGATTCAATACACCGTTAAGCTGTTTATACTGAAACCACCGTTTTATGTGTTTGTATTTTTTTAGATTTAAGTGGTATTTATTTATTTTTATTTTACCAATGTACCAATAACATACTTCGTTGATTTTTTGGCGTTTATCTTATCTCTCCCCGAATTTTACCTAAATTTCTTTCAGAGTTTTCTCCAGGGTATTTGATATAAGGTAACATGGCCGCCGAGGTGGGTTTAGGTAGGTATTATTATTTTTGGTGTTTAGTGATTTTTCCGTTTTAACCTACTAGTAACTGACCACCTGGGAGTTATTTTACTCCACTGAGTCTACTTTTAGTACACTCTAGGTGCACTTGAGTCTCGCAGAGCAAATTGTGTAATCAAAACTGGCGCCCGAGCAACCCTTGTTCTAAATAACAGCCTGGCGCCACCCACGACTTCCACTTTACAGTAGGTAAAGCTTGAAGTCCGTCATAACTCTATAACAATGTCGCTGACCTATTTGACATAAATCTCGAATCCAGATTGTCTAATTCTTGCTGATGAGTCCAAATAAGGACGAAACCAGTTCAATAATAACTTAGAAAGCAAAGTCAAATGTAGAGCGTTGAGAATATTTTCTATCTCTGCTTTTTTATTTTGATGTAATTCAATACCTGGTGAGGTAATAGTCAAAGGAGTAGTTGTTTTCAAGAGATATACTTCCGCTCGTATTACTGTTATACATGTCTTTGAGTTTTATTTGATTTTATATTGCTGTAAGAGTAATTTTTCTACTTAAAAACACTATAATTATTCAAGATTAAAATTTTCCAAAAGGACACCGTGATTTTAAGAACATTCATTTATTCAAGGTACAATAATAATTAGGTATTTATGCTGTAAACAGATTCAATTTGTTTAAAATAAGATACTATGCATACCTGAGCAAACGTCCATTCTTGATCCTCAAATATAATACAAGGCTTATTTGGATGTTTCTTCACGTGGTTTTGGAAAATTTGAGATATTGTTAAGTTCTTCCTCTGATAATACTTCACTTGTATTAACAGAAAAATATAACCAATAAGTGCTCTGAAATAAAAAAAATATTTTGAATCTTAAAATGTTATTAAAACGTAAAATAGTATATTGCTTCAAAAAATGATTTTTAACAAGTAAAACACTATATTTTTTCTACGAATTTCCATTATGCCATGTACTAAAAGGAAGAAAGAAAAAACAAACGTAAACACGTAAACAAATGATTTATTTTTACTGCAGTCAATTTGTGTTCAAAAGGGCCCCTATCGGGAAAGTTGTTTTAATTTCTTCTATTATCTATGTTTCTTGGGATGCTGAATCCGAATCTGAGATTGTTTTAAAGTTATTTCAATTAGAGCGCCACCTTCAAAGAGCTCTAGGAAGCATTTTTGGAATGAAGTAATTTAGAATAAATCGAGATAGAATGAGCTCCAGATTTTACCGTTTTTTTCCTTGACTAAAACATATTAATGATACATAAATAAGGTTAGAAAAAATATCATATTTTGAAAATAAACAAATATTTTGTCTTATTTAAGTATCATTATTTAAAAGAATATCAGGGAAGTATTTTACATAAACTTTAATCTCTATTAATGAATAAGGGCCGGTCTTACAATATTTCAAAGATTCGACATGAATATAAATAAGAAAGTAAAAGAAGAATGTTTAAAGCTCCGCAATTCATGGGTTTTATACATGCATTACCTAAAGCCAAAGTCCAAGGACATTTATTGATAACTAACTTTGTAACCATCTATTGTAATATAGTTTCTAAAATAAATATATACTAATTTAAAGGAATTTAAAGAAATATCTAATGAATAATAAGTGCGTTTGTCAGTCCAATAAGAAATTATAAATTAGTATCGGATTTTAAAACTATGTACTTTTTATGTTTTATGTTAAATATAAATTAAATAAATGTCGAAAAAAAAAATAAAACAATACGCCAATCATATATTTGTTTTTTATAAATAAATTAAAGAGACGGAATATAGTTATAAAATAAATATCAGAGATGAATATAATGCAAGAAGTTAATTTTGCTCGAGAGTGAAAGAAGAAAGTTAACCTTGTATCTAAGATGAGTGTTATTGAACTTATTGAAACATATTATTTAAATTCTAAGCAAGTAATGAAATTATCTGTTTGAGAGGAAGTATTTTATTCAATGAGTTTTTTGCAAAAAATGTGCCATCATTACGCTTATCAAACAATGTCAACAATATTTAAGTAATAGTACTATAAAAATCCGAAAAAAACTTCAAATTTTTATTTGTAATTAGTGGTTTATGTATAGTAGTCCTTTTTAATCGTTTGGTACCTCTCCAAAGTGAGTAATCCGTATTTTTATCGTTAGTTAATTAACTTAAATATTCGTTTTTAAAAAATATTTTTATTGAAGAAATTACAAGTAGCCCAACAAAGTTAAAATGTAACGATCTGAATACTTCTAATGGTAATTAGGTACTGACTGAGAACTATTGAGAAAAATAAAATGATACGGCGTTGCATAGTTTCAGTATTTTCTATCGGACTTCTTGAGTAGAGGGTGATATAATTCGCGATTGCAATGCATAAATCATTAGGTGGCCATAAAAGAAGCTTAAAACCAAATCATCTTAGCCATTTTGTTTTTTGAAATAATTAAGATCACTAGAATTCATTTTAAAATCAATAAAGTCGTTACAAATTCATGGGACTTCGAATCTCTTTAGAGCGGAAACGATTATGCTCTAACAATGTTTAAATAGGATATTTTTCTCCATTTCTCTAACTCCGTTCTATTACAATGACATAGCAAATAGCATTCCTGCCAAAGTGTCCACTCAATATAAATATCTAATAACTTTGATTATGTTTATTAATTTTAAAACAATGAAACACAATTGACGATAATTTTGTCTGATGCAGATAAAGTTTGGCTAATTTGCATAGCTTCATACTTTCATAACTCTTAACGGTTATCACTTTTTTTTAATGAATCAAATCTAATATTATTACTACCCAAACTTTATTTCTCGTTCGATTTTACATTATCAAAATCAAATTCACCGGACACAGAATGATAAGCAACAATGATATTTATGTTTGACCTATTGTAAATTAATGGCATATTGTTTAGCTTTAATTTTAGAATCACGTTGAAAAATAAAAAGAAATACGTATTCTACAATGATAATATCTACAATAAAGCGAAATGTGATACCTACATTATATTGAGTAAAGAATATCTATATTTATATTAAACATCTCTAAAGTATCTCTATTCGTTTGTTTTTACAGCATCCTATTGGCTTGTTGTATTTTACCTAGTGGTTTTACCATACTTTACCATACTACTTAGTCTGTCACATGTGAATCTTAAACAAGTATTATTATAAAAAAATTGTTTTCACCTTGGGGGTTCAAAAATACACTCCCCGGCACATAATTCAGCCACCCTATAATTTTGACCAAGTTTGATGTTTTATAACTTTTTTATATTTTATCTTGTTTTTATGAATTTTCCACCAATTTGTAGATACATTTATTGTGATTTTTTAAAATTATTGTAATAAGTAACATTTTTTGTCAACGCAATGTTATACAGAGATAAATCAAAATGTTTTTTGTCGCAACTTCAAAACAGCTTGTAGCAAAATTGAGATGTATAATTTTGTTTACATACTGTTTGCTGTAATCTCAGATGTATTCCAAACATTTTGTTTTTTGATTCATCCCATTATCTCATTTCTTCTGTGAGCTGCATCCGTCTGTAAGTACCTGTTCCAAGCATCTCGAACTGTAGACCACGGAATTCCCAGAGTAGGGGCGACATAATTTTTTGTACGGCTATCCTCTATTAGAGCTACAATTCTGCTGTAGTTAATAACATTATAACAACAGAAGAAATTCTTATACGGAACTGTCAATGTCAAACATTTTGTGACAATAATCGTGTACTTAGGCAACTTTTTTTAATAGCTTGGCCATTTGACATCTATTTTTCATAAATTAATGAGCAAATTAATTAAAATTAATAGCGTTTTATTAAAAAAATGCAGCTCATAGAAGAATTGAGATAATAGGATGAATCAAAAAACAAAATGTCTGGAATACATCTGAGATTACAGCAAACAGTATTTAAACAAAATTATCCAGCTCAATTTTGTTAAAAGGTGTTTTGAAGTTGCGACAAAAAACATTTTGAGTTACCCCTGTATAATATTGTCGAAACGAAAAATGTTACTTATTACAATAATATCAAAAAATTACAATAAATTTATCTACAAACTGGTGGAAAATTCTTAAAAATATTATAAAACATAAAAAAGTTATAAAACATCAAACTTGCTCAAAATTTTAGGGTGGTGGAATTTTGTGCCGGGGAGTGTAATTTTCATTATTTCGAAGGGGTAATTTTAGGAATTGTTTGGGGATTTCTAGGAAATTTATCAGATATAAAATAGTCATGATCTATTATGGTATCAAAAATGGGCAAAGGAGTTCTCTACTGGGTGACAATGAGACTAGGTCCACGTTAAAATATATCTTTTATTTCTTGTGATTGTAAACAAACATAATTTCATGGCGGACTTTTGGTTTTACCGAAAATGCCATTAAATTCGATTTTTTAAATGGATCATCCTGTGTATTTTTTATATTTTGGTAACTACATTTCAAAAAACAGTGTTGTCAAATCTTTATTTTTCTCAAACAATTGTATTTACAATTTTTTTGAAGTAATAGCCCAAGAGCCCACTGCAAATTACCGTCATCTGATAACGAAATGAAATATACCCCAAAAGCATGTAAAAACATTGTACTTTACCAAATGGCACCTGTGCCTATCCCAATCCTGAGCAACGTGGCTTAAAAAAATTATTTTATATTAAAAAAATCACATAAAGCATGACAACGCTAATTTTGTTTGCCCTTGAAGATTTCCAGAAAATAACATTAAATATATCTTGATGTATATCGTTAAAAAGAAACATTTTCTTCCTCTTAACATGGCACAAAAACATATATCCATGATTAGTAGGTAAAAATCATTAAAAATATGAATCAATTTTTGCTGATTTAAAAATTTATTTGTATGCTTATTGTTGTGATTCATTTTTACAGGTTGCCATAGAAACGACAAAAAACTACTATGATTATGGTTTAAAAGAATTGTCTAACAAGAATTTATAATTAATATTGACTATCTCTGCGAATGGTTTATACAATGCCATCCTTCTTCCTTTCACACATACACATGGTTTAAAAGGTAGGTAAAAATATTAATAATTCAGGTTTAAAAGCTAGGTTCACTATGAATTAAGATTGTAATATTCAGGGAAAACACAATTGTCGCTGTCATGTCTTATGTGATTTTTTGAATATAAAATAATTTTTTTTAACCACTTTGCTCAGGATAGGGATTGGCACAGGTCCAATTTGGTAAAGTACAATGTTGTTACATACCTTTGGAGCATATTTCATTTCGTTATCAGATGACGGTCGAACTTTGCAGTGGGCTCTCATACTATAAGTAGAAGTCTGTGAACTGGAAAAATGTTCTAACTGGTGCATGGTGCATATTGTCAGATTGGTAATAAAATTTGCCATCTAATGAATAAATGAATCTCAATATCCGCCATTTAAAAAAAGTGAGATTTTGGTAAAAAACACTCCTTAGAAATTTATTTTTTATCTGAAGGATTTAGTTTTAAACTCAATTGGTAAAATAGCTTTTGTTTCGTGTTATTCGAGACTATTAGAACATTATTTTCTAGTTTATGGCCTTCTAATTCATTTAAAAAAAAAAAAAAAAAAAAAAAAAATGTAAAAATGTAAAAATGAAAATTTATCACATAAAATAAATATGGTGATCCATTTAAAAAATCGAACCTAATGATATTTCCAGTAAAACCGATAGTCACCCATTTTGTTTAAGTATAGCTGTCAATTAGAAATTATGACCAGTAGGTTCATCTTAAATTTGATTCAAGGCTTTTTAAATAAAAAGAGATATTAAAGTGGCTCTGAACCAGAGATAACAGAAGATAAAATATAATATTCATGATGCCAAGATTAATTTGACAATAAATACGCTCTATTTGCTGGTTCGCGGCGAGGAGACGAAAGGTGAGAAGTAAGAGAGGGGACAAAGAGAAGGATTTTACGCTGATAGGACAAAGAGAAGGATTTTACGCTGATACAACTTTATTTTATCAATGAATAAATGTATAAGCATAGGTGTAAGCGATGTGCGCTTATAATAAACAACGTATATATCCACGCTGGTGTAAGGCCTGTTTATAGGATCTATTTATACTCACTTATTATTAATATTTGCATTAGTATTATGATTAAGGATTAAGTTGAACCTTCACAATGTAATGTGGACATTTATACTCGATTTATGATTAGAATTAGCATTAATATTTATGCTTAATAATTGTCAGGTTTAACTTTTATGTTAAATCTTAAAGAACCCCGCACAAATCTTATGAAAATTGGCTCCCGGTCAAATTGGCTGAAATTTGGATATGTTGTTCGTTTCGGCATCCTGAGCAAAAGTCTCAATGGGCACAAAACTCAATTTTGCTTATTTTGGCTCATACGGAGCTCCAAAGCTCCACAGATTGACCATTATTTATTACTTAAAAAGGCAATCTCCTCGTAAGTTTAGTATTTGATGCGTTAAAAAAGAAGTACCTTCTTATGTTTTCGGGGGCGCTGCATTTAAATCCAATGCCAATATAATAATATTGACAGTTGACAGCTGTCAATTAGCTGTCAAACAACAAGCAATAATCAAAATTGATAAAATCCACATGTAAATATCTGTTTTTGAGTTCAAAAAACTGATGTTAACAACTCGATATTGACAGTTGACAGCTATCAACCAACTGTCAAACAGTATGTGACAATCAAAATTGACAAAAATTCAGGAGTAAATAGATGTCCTCGAGGTTGCCGAGTTCAAAACTGATGTCAAAAATACGATATTGACAGTTAACAGCTGTCAACTAACTGTCAAACTAATAATACTATTCGAGATGCAAGAAACCGTCCACAATACCTAAACTGTAATATTACATTATATTTTCCTAAATGCATTGATAAAAATCTAAAAGACTATTCCTAAAATAGGACGATATATATCGTCCTGTATTATAAATAGGTTGATAAAAAATATCATAAAATCATAGATCCAATAAAACAATCGGCCAAGATGTACAAAAACCGATCGCGCGACCTCCACGTGGTGTACATCGGGTAACGCTAACGCCGACGGTAGAAATAAATATTGTGGTGGTTTGACAGCTGGCAACTGTCAATATCGAGTTGTTAACATCAGTTTTAAACTCAGCTGCCTCAAAAACATATATTTACATGTGGATTTTATTAATTTTAATTGTCACATGCTGTTTGACAGTTAGTTGACCGCTGATCACTCTCAATATCGTCTTTTTGACATCAGTTTTGAACTCAGTAACCTCGAAGACATCTATTTACTCCTGAATTTTGTCAATTTTGATTGTCACATACTGTTTGACAGTTAGTTGGCAGCTGTCAACTGTCAATATCGAGTTGTTAACATCAGTTTTGAACTTACCAACCTCAAAACCATGACCTTTATCAAAAGGTGTGGCTTGTACAGTGAACTATAAGTTAGTCATGTCATATTTGAAGAATTGCGAACTAGGATGAATGCTAATTAATTTAAAAAATACTTCAAAAATTGTTGGCCTAAAAATGTAAGTAACTAAGATACAATTATATCACAAAAAATTGGTCAACAATATTTTAAAACAATTTCTGCATATTCTGCTATACAAAAAAATCTTTAGCTAAAATATTTTTATTCTCTACTCTAGATCACTTTTATAAAATGTTAATTTAATTTCATACGGTTTATCTTCCAAGTTTGTCTTAATTGTCATTTTTAATTATTTTTTAAAATATGTTTAGTGGTATTTATCTGAAAAATGGGTCGAATGAGGACATATTTTTGCCAAATGAGCTCATTCTGAATTTTAATTAACACATTTTATATGCGTTTTAAAAATTACAATCAATATTTCTTCTACTAAAGTTAATAATTACCCATGGGTATTTAATGACAAATTTTAGATAATTTTTATCTATTCATAAAATATATCTGAAATCCATAATTAGATATTTTAAAGTATTTTATGAACTACATATTAATCTATACTCACTATGTAGTTTTTATATAGAGTAATAATCTGTTTAAAAGATCTTAAATAGATAATAGTTACTTAATTACTATATAATCCATTAGAAAATGAGATATCAATAGTATTTTGATTAAAAATATCTTTAGGTAATTAAGTAATAATAGCAACAAAGCAAAGTTATGAACATTTAAATTATTTTTCATTATATTATTATATTTAATACAGTGTGACTGAATTAAAATGGAATTACGACTGTAAATTCTCTATAATAATTGACAAAAACTTCAATTTTTTTCTCAGCTGGATTCTAACATTTATTTGACACATCTCTACCTATGTGTGTTTGTTCTTTTGTATATAAAATAACAGAAAAAAAACTATGTTTGAGAAAATGTAAACAAATTTTCCAAAACCGTTTGCAATTGCCCCACTTGACTTTAATTCTTTTATTCAAATTAAGAAAACAAAAGTAATCTCTAAACCTAATGACAGAAGAAAAACAGATTAATATATGAAAAAATACTCAATGTATTTTTAAATTAAATATTGAATGAATCTTGTAATAATTTATTTGTATTTGATCAAATAATACAACCAATTACATATAACAACACACATAAGGTTCTTTCGTTCGCTGTTGGTGCAGTGTGCACCAGTGTCAATTACACCACCTCATTTACCTAGTTTATTTCCTTCTTATTCCTTATACACATGTCAATTGTAATTCACTCCAGTTAAATAGCTGGTGGAGAAAATATCTACCAGTGGACACCACATCACCGACAGGAAGGTGTAGTAGATGTTACACTGGCCAAACAAAAGGTATAGTGTCCATTGGTGCAGTTCATATACCAGTGGGATGAACAAAAGAATCTATATAATTTCCTGATATTCCAAAAAGAGGCCTGTTTATTATTAATTTGATTATTTTATTCAAACTCTTGAGTGAATGAATGCTAGATTTAAAATAATATGTAAAAGTGATACTACTTTAGGGTGACCATATCTCTTTTGACTCAATACTGGACGCTGAACATGAAATATATTTTTAACATTTTGAAGAGGTGAAAACTTTCTTTTTTAAGCTCCCTAAGAAAGAGAACCAAAGATCCTTTTTTTTAGCTTCACATTATGTTTTAGTCTATTTGTTATGTTTTGGTAAATTATGTTATGTATTGCTTTGCTGTACAGCAGATAATATAATAAAGTGTTTTGCTGGACAAATATTGCTTTTCGTTGTACGTTTGCTGTACAAGATCCAATGCTTGACAGACTTTAAAAATGCTGTACAATACAGCGAAATTATGTATGTGTGGTCACCCTGTACTACTTTTAACATTTATGTATTAAGTTAAAAAGCTTTGCATATAAACATCCATTCTAATAATAAATATTGAATACCTACTGTTGGTTTTCTTGAATTAGTTCATCCTAGGAATTGAGAACAAGCAAGAAAGTCCCAATTTTTGAAATAATTAGAAATAGATATCTAAACAGTAAAAATACTTACTTCAGGTCTCTTGGAACAGTCACTATGGCAACATACCACCATCTCCACTTTCCGGCAGCTACATAAGCCACTATAGCAACAATTATTAATTGAACTAAGAAAAGCCATCCCAGGAAATATCCAATAACAGCCCCTAAACCAATTAACACTGCTAATATTATTGCCATAATTAACAACTTTCGAATCAAGACACGAATTGGTCTTGTTTTTGAAAGTCTTGCTCTTCGAGGTATGTTGTTTTCTTCAGTTTCACTCTGTACATCGACCGACTTCCCGCACTCAACGTCGGCTGATTGGGATTTGATGGAGACCTGAAAGTGCGAAACTTATAAATTTTAACTGTAAAGTGAATTGTACATTTTTTAGGTTAAACTACACCGAAATGTGGGTTGCCTAACATGCAAATTAATTTACAAATATAAAACAAGACGTGGATATGGCTATCATACCTCTCATCCGGACGAATAATCCTTTATTTTAAATGTATTATAATATAGGTAGTTGATTAGGTGCGTTTTAATCATCCGCTACTGCTTTCGGAATTGTCGGTTTAGTCGTTTTAACCTGTCAGATTAAAACAAGAAAACCGACAATTCCGAAACAGAAGCGGATGATTAAAATGCACCTTATAAATTTACCAAAATGTGTTAATTTTAAAGGATTTAAATAATGAAATTAATGTTTATTAAACTTAAACTAACATTGTTTCTATAATAATTACATAACTTCACATAAAAATAGAGCATCGGCAAAAAATAAAATACATTCAGCAGTCTCTCCAATTATTGAGAAATATAGGGCCACGAATGGCATACCCTTAAAAAAATAAAAACCTTTAAATCAATTTAGTAACGATTTATTTATATTATTCATCGTCACCTTCAATATTTTTCATATTGTGTTGGTTCAGTTCACGCAATACGGATCAAATTATTTTCCAAAAATTGCTATTTTTCTACTGAAAAGTTAAACAAATACTGGATCGTCTTAAATACTCTTATAAAATTATAAAATGTCCCAAAAATATCTTATACCTATATTTTGTCTTTTTGACAATAAACAAGATATCAACAATCTTAAGGCGGTTTTACACCAGAGACCGATAAAACAGCAACTCGAGTTGAAATAAAGCGCAACATTAACAGATTTGTCGGCAACACGGCAACTCCTAGTTTTCCAACAGTTGCCGTTGTGTTTTTAGTTTTCCGATGAAAGTCGGTAAATTCAAAAAGTTCATTGCTACGTGTATTGCAACTTAGTTGGCTTGGTGTAAACATAGTGAATGTGTTTTAGTTCCTGTCAATATTCAGAGTCAGACGGTTTTAATAATTAACAAGAAGTTAGTTAAAAAGAAGATAGTGGTTGATTTGTATTCTTGGTAAATAAGAGAAAAAATAAGAATTTTAAATAAGGCAATTAACAAACGTTAAGCGCGTGTCGCACCTAATTAAGATCCCTGTTGTTCCTCATTTCGGGCGATTCTATTTAGCAGTGTGCCACATATTTATTTTTTAAACAAATAATAGTATGAAAACGACATGCTTCTTTTTTTGATTAGTAAAAAGAATTGAACTGAAGAACAAAAATACAACTGTTTATCCGTTTTAAAAAAACAGCAACTTATTTTTGTCTGACTAATCTAAACACTCTTCTCATTTTAATGCGTTTTGGGCTTTTGTTTTTGAAAACAACAATGAAACAGCAACTCAGCTACTCGGTTTGGTGTAAAACCGCCTATAGAAAAGAAATACGTTTTTATATTAGCGCTAAAGTTCCGGAAGATTTCTAAAGAAAAAAATGAAAGTAATTGGAAACATGTTTTTTAATTGAAATACTTTCAATTCATCAAATTATATTAATAATTGGCCATTCATAAAATGAGAAAAGTGAATTGAGCCATTTTCTATGATCATTTCTGAAGCTGCGTTTGGCAATAAAGCTTAATTTATAACCGCCGTAACGTAACTTAAGAACTTAACGTAAGAAGTTGAAATATTGAATTTACGTATACTTATTTATAATGTTCGTAACGTAACTTAAGAACTTAACGTACCGTAGAAAGTTCACCAACTTTTAACTTAACAACATAACTTAACTTAAGACCTTACGGTTAGCCAATGAGATAATTCTGCGTTCAGCATGTGATAACTGTCAATTATTCTTTTTATTTTTTTTTTATAAATAAATAGAAAAATACCATTTGTAAACTATCATTCTCCTTTTTGATGGACATACATTATCATGAATGATTTGTGTTTATGTTATTGGGGATAAACTATCTATGAGATATGAGTGTAGCTGCATATACCTATAAACATCAAGTCTAGAACTGAAATAAGACAAAACTTTTTTGCTAGGAAAGATTAAATTCTCATTATTGCTCAAAAACAATCAACATCTTCGGTAAACTATTTTGTTTTATTATATTTTTATATTATTGCTTTTAAAGTAGTTAATATATTCTTTCTATATAGCAAAATCATAATTTATAAGTTTTATTTAGAGGTTAAGTACATAGTTTACACTTGTTTATTTCATAAGGTTGTCAATAATTTGATAATCTCTGAAATCAACACGCATGCTCTACTCTTACGTTACGGACATTTATAAATAGACTTTATTTTTATATCTTAGGTTAAGTTTCTACGGCGTTAAGTTAAGTTACGTTACGCTGGTTATAAATTATACTTAATAGTCCATATTATTTTGTGTATAGGCAACATTACTGTTGACAAAATACAGAATAACGTTTTGTAAGTTGCCTACATTTGGGAGGAATAGTAAATAAATTTGGGTAGTGGCTATACTACCAGCAATACGGAGTAATATTATTAGATAAACCTACGATTCGTAATCTCAATTCGCATGATGTGTTTCTACTGAAATCAACAGCATTTCCTAAAAATACAGTTAAATCCCTAAAACTGACCCTTAGAACAAAAAAATCTACTTTTTCAATTAACGTCTGTACTATTTTTGTTACTACACTTACTACAAAACTGTTTCAAATTTCAATAATTTACGTCAAATAGTCTCTAGACAGACACCAAGGTGATTCCATAATATGTCCCTTTTTAAAAAAGGGAAATAATTTCAACTCAAATGTGATCAAGACGTAAAATAAAATAAATAAACCGCAAAGCCATATGCCACACAAAATATTAGCGATCGTTTCCCTTCGGAAAACAACTACTACTTTGGCTAATACCGCCAAAGGAATGGATCTAGTCCCAAGAATTCAGATTTGGTTCCTTTACAGGGTTCAGGCCATGCTATTCAAAAAGGTGTTTTTTTGTCAGCAAGAGGAAGATCAAACAATTATTTCGCTCTCAATTCTCTTTATTAATAAATCAACTTCAGGAGCCGTCTGGATATAGTGCGTAGTCCCCTTGCTCCATTCGTTTCCCTCTCTTGTATGAGTACGCTGTATGACTTTTCTACGTACTGTGGGTGAACTATATAGAGCCTGAAACAATACCGAGAATGGATCGGTTATTAATTTCAGGTTGTCACACTACAGTTTTTCAATTCATTGACTATACCCACTGTCAGGAGCATGGATGAAAAAGTACAGAGGGAGAAGCATATGGAGGCTAGGAGTTTGTAGAAATAAGTAAACTTGTAAGCAAAAGTAAATTTATTTGGTTGGAGCATGTTCTCCTTCCATTACAGCTTTGTTTAGGATTCCGTATAAGAATTGGTACTGTTAACCCATTGGCGATTTTCAAATTAAGCACCAAAATGATACGTGCTATCCAATTGGGGGCACGCAGTACCACTAGAGAATAATAAAAAAGGATAAAGAGGACTGTAGTCGCATGATTAACCAGTGTCCTCTCTCAGAGTACGCTCTTAGCACAAATCTACTTATAATGGTTATATAAACAACAAAATAACACTTTTTAAAATAACTAATATATTTTAAAATTATATTGTAAACTGTTATAGGTACAAAACATCCATAAAAACCAAAAAGTTCCAAGTTTATAAAATAAATGTATGTTTTTGACGGCAAATTAAGATCAAATAAAATAGTGAATCGGATTTTGTTTTGTAAAAGATCAGTGTTACTTAAGACTGTTTTAAAACATTGATTTTTTTTTATTTCTTATTTATCAGTAATAAATTATTATGATATTATTTGTTTGTAATATATTCAATAGCAATTTTATCGTTTGGAATGTAAACTATTACCAATGGTGGTATAGAAAGCATATAATATAGTTACAATTCGTGATATTAAAACGCTTTTATGTACCGAATTTTTGATGCCGGGTAGATTTTATGTCAATTTATGTTATTATGGGTCTATTTATGTATTCCACATATTATAAATCCGTTTACATTTATATTTTTCTAACAACTTCCTACTTTTTCCTCGTCCTGGCAAAAATGTATTCCTCCGCCCCAGTATGATGCAATTTTGACAAACAAAAAATACTTGATGCCGTAATTTGATTTTTACTCCGTAATTTATGTAAAAAGTCACATTAGTGTAATTTGAATCAAAGCAATTAACCGTTGATGATATTCCTACGAGTATTTTAATTTTATTTTATTATTGTGATTACTCGTGTATTTGACCAATTTGAAAGTCATCAGGCGGCTAAAGTGCAAAGTACATGGCTAACGTAACATTCATAAAATTAGAACCCCATATACTTCCTAACAGCCAAATTTTTTTTATTTTATTTTAGATGGTTGCATTAAAATATAAGAAACGATAACTAAATATGGGCAGATTTTTTATTTAAAATGTGCACTTATTTTACTCATAATATTAAAAAAATAATACACAATAGAAGAACGCCTAAAGAAATACATAGGTAATAATAACTCATTTGGGATGAAGTTATACTTTAAAATGCTATTTTACCAAACGGTTTAATAGTAGTTTGTGCAACAAGAGTGGATATGATGGCCGATACGGATAATTTACTCTAGTTGTTCAGTATATTTTTTTTACGACCCACTAACGAAAATATAAAAATTGTAAATATTATTTTAGATTATTAAGATAAAAAAGATTTAAATTAATTAGTCCTCCCTCCCAGATTTGAACCCGCCCATTTCACTTTTTATATTTCAAATTTAAGATTTTTTCAAAATGTGGATCAAATAAAAATAAAGTTATTTATCGATTCTACACAAAAATAACTCATTTTAATATATATTTAATCTCAATAACTAAAAAATATATACTGACAATTAGTTTGAAAGAATTGTCACTTATTTAAAATTTTTAAAATAATAGTAGTTGGATGTCCAAAATATGAACTGCGATAGGTGGATTTCATTTGTTCTCACTGCC